GTGTTCCCTTCTGCTCAAAAGTGCGTGCAAAAAAATAAACCATATAGTGCCTTATCCTTCAATGAGTTCTATTATTTATAATAAGCAATACCACTCGCATTCCCAAATTATCACCCGCGCCTTGAATAATATGGATTGTTTACTAAATATGTGACACCTCCACCAGATGTGCCCTCATCTGGCCCTTTTATTAATCAGCTCCAAAACAATTCCTGATATCCTCGACAGGTTTTTCAGATCACCTTAGTCCATTCAATATTCACAATGCTGTCCCTTTAAATCATCTTCCACTCAGTTCATATGAAAAAAAAAAAACTACATAGTGCCTAATCCTTACCTACCAGCAGGCAATATAATAATATAATTATACAGACTACTACTCACAAACACATGCCTATGTGTCATACATAATGGAATTTACACTTGTGTCCATGTCCCATCCATCAGATGTCCTATACCTGAGGAAGTCACGTGACTGGTGATGAACCGCGTAGGGGTGCGGCTTATCTGATGACACTGGAGGAATAGATAGAGGCTCAAAAAAAAGACTCAAAAAAGTACACCGTTTTTTAAGAGACATTTATTATTGACTTAGAGTAGAAGAACACAGTAGAACTGGAGATTGGTTATAATTTGCACAATTTTACAATTTTATATATATATATATATATATATGTTATTTGAAATAAGCACTGCACTGTTTTTGGTTATATGGTAGCACATTTATATGAGAGTGTTAGAGGTGCTAGCAGCTGTATATAAAGATAATCCAAAGCAGCTCACAAGAAACATACCATTGTATCCTTACTCTTGCAGTGTCCTATGGAGCCAACCCTGCATGCAGGGACTAGAAGTTGTGGGGTTGATTTGCTAAAGGCAAATAGGCTGTGCACTTTGCTAGTGCAGTTGCACTCACTTTCTCCGGAGTTTAGGATGGTCAAGCTTCCTTTTGTAAAGAATACCCAGTCTGGCCCAAGGAAAATACAAAAAACAGCATTGAATGTTGGAAATCAGTAGAGCATCACCACATTCACTAAGGGAAAGTGAGTGAAACTGCATTGCAAAGTGCACAGTCTATTTGCCTTTGGTAAATCAATCCTTGGGTCTCCCTGCATTGTGTGTATCAACAGAAACACACAGCCTCATAGTCTAGATGGCAATACTCCGGTGCTCCCCCTCCTCCTCTTCTCCTCCTTATCTTACAGTGTCCTTTGGAGCCAACCCTGCATGCAGGGACTAGAAGCTGCGGGGTTAATTTGCTCAAGGCAAATTGGCTGTGCACTTTGCAAGTACAGTTGCACTCACTTTCTCTGGAGCTTAGGATGATCAAACTTTATTTTGTAAAGAATACACAGTCTGGCCCAAGGAAAATACAAAAAAAAAAAAAACAGCATTGGATGATGGAAAGCAGAAGAGCATCACCACATTCACTAAGCTTTGGAGTGAAATTGCATTGCAAAGTGCACGGTCTATTTGCCTTTGGTAAATCAAACCCTGGGTCTCCCTACACTGTGTGCATCAACAGAAACACACAGCCTCCTAGTCTAGATGGTAGTGCGTCTCTGCCCCCCCCCCCCCATCCTTCTCCTCTCTCCCTTCTCCAAACTAACAGACTGACCAGAGACTGCACTGCCCACTATTAACTCTTTCCTGTGAAAACTGGAGGTTCAGAGCAAACCATCACAGCTTCCACAATGTTGTTGGACAACACCTGCCTTGGAACATTCCATGTCATTATGGTAATTTGATTAAGTTGGCTGAGTTACTCTATGGATATAAATGTTGGGATGTGTTATGCATACACATTTGAACTAAGAAAGACATGTGAATGAATGGTGAAATATCTTCACCATTATAGAATGTGAATGCAACATATCAACATTTTTCTAGTAAGAAGAAAAAAAAAACTTTATATATATATATATATATATATATATATACATATACGTGTATATATATACATATATATATATGTATGTATGTATATATATATATATATATATATATATATATATATACACACACACACACACACCTTCTTTGAAATTCACCTTCATGCTCTAGCACCTCTCTAAGTACAATCGCTCAGTGTTTTCTGTTGTAAGTGTTGTTCTACTATGGGCATTTAGTGGCACCACACTGTTGTCCAAAAACATGTTTTATTATGCAAAACAGTTGTTTTGAAATAGCTTAACCTTGTTGCTTTGCCAAAGGGAATTGAAGAACTGTTATTTTAAAAGGGGGCCTTTGTGTGCTCAGGAAGCGTGACACCACCGAGATCTTAAACTATGACCATTGAAACATTCCTTTGTCAAATAAAATTTTTTAAAAAAGGACAGGAAAAAGTAACAATAAGCTGAATAAATCAATGCATATTTGAAATTATTCCTACAAACAATGACCATAGATGTCACCTAAATTACTTACAGAGGGATTTAAAGTGAACCTGTAGTTAAACAAGATTGCAAAGCTTCCAGAAGCAACAGTAAGTTAAAGCAACCCCCTTGCTTTACAAAAAAAATTAGCCCAGCAATGCCTATGAAAGAAGACGCCATATACTCACCTTTTTTCTGCTGTCCACACAGCTGAACTCCGATGCTGACAAATTTTCATTTGAAGTTCATTTTGAAATCCAACACTTCTGGACTGACAATCTCTGAGGTCTCATAGTTCCCCCTCTCACATCTACCTGTTATAGGATAGAGTAGTGATTTTTTTTTTATGGAGCTCCACACTATAGTGCACCTTTGAACAAAAACGTGAACCTTGAAATCACAGCACACTAAAAAGTGCATAGGGGTGCTTATTGTCCAACCTCCAGAGGAAGGACCATGATTTCTGAACCTCCTGAGGTGCAGGGGGGTCAAGATACTTTAGTCCACCTGTCTGAAACCAGGCAAACTCCAATGCTTAGGGACCAGCCAAAGCCAGTCCACCATGTATTAGGTGATTTCACTCCTAAGCAGAGATCCAAAGTTGGGGAGAAGAAAGAGATCCATTAAGGTCACAGATCACCGCACCCCCCCCCCCCCCCCCCCAACAGCAGGGCAGAGCCTGAAAAACCTGCACCCTCCATCTCTGTAGAGTTAAAAAAACAAATACATACATGCTGCATGATAAATAGTGTACATTTTGCAGGCCTTTTGGTTGGTATAAAAATTGCTGTAGGTTAGGCAAAAGGCCAGCCCAAGAATCATGGTGCAAGGGAAGCAATACTGGCCTGGCCAAATGCCAGTGAAACCTAATGGGATCCCAAACCCATAGTGTTTTTATGGCATGCCTGAAACATGACCCCAATGGGGCACATCACTGGGAACTCAGGAAAACAGTAGTGACGTGGAAGAATGAGTGGGAGCTGCAGGAAAACCGGGAGAACAACAATCAAGAAAGTGCCACTTTCAGTGTGCACTTCAGTAGAAGTGTCCTTGGCACCAGAGAGCAGTATGATGGCGCAGCCAACAAAAAAGGTGAATATGCTGTTTCTTCTTTAACTGGCATGGCTTGGTTGGTTTTTTTTTTCTGTATTTCAACAGGGTTTCTTGTAGCTTGTAGGTGTTTTGTACATACCTGCTGCAGAAAGATTTCAGGTAATGTAGCTTGGAACATCCTGACTTTCTCAAAGTTCCAGTTCAAGTATAAATAGACAAATAGTCAAAGATCAATCATAAGGCTGGTGAGAAATTTCAAAAAGCAGAATTTCCAACTCCTACAAAAAACTCCAGTTCATGTAGTTATGTATTCATTACAAAACAATGACTTGTATTTTTATAACACAGCTGGCACAAGTCCTTGAATTTGGCTTCATATCAGCCTCTTGAAAACCCATGTAAAGCAGCACTCAGACTGACTACAGAGGGTGAAGATCAATTCCTAAATAATGATTACCTGGTTTCCTAAAGTGTTTGTCTACAGATCAGATGATCCTTGATGCTTTAGTTTCAGCATCAAGTAATTTGACATGACAATTTTTAGCTTAGAGCTCCCACCACTGACAGTGATGCCCTACCCTGAACCACATTTGCTCTGCCTCCTTCAATGTAACTCTAACGCTTTCTTTAAACTTAACTCTAACTCTTACACTAACCCTCCCTGTAATTTAACTCCAACCCTTTCACTAACCCTCCCGTTAACTCACTCTAACTCTTACACTGTTCCAACTCGTAGTCTGACTCTAACTCTTACACTAATCCTTCTTGTAATTCAACGCTAACCCTATACTAACTCTCCTCATAACCTAACTCTAACCCTCCCCATCTTCTAACTTTAACCATTACACTAACCCTCCCCACAATCCAACCCTAACCAATACACTACCTCTCCTCATAACCCAACGCTAACCCTATATTAACTCTCCTCACAACCTAACTCTAACCCTCCCCATTTTCTAACTCTAACCCACCCCATCTTCTAACTCTAACCAATACACTAACTCTCCTCATAACCCAATGCTAACTCTATACTAACTCTCCTCATAACCCAACGCTAACCCTATACTAACTCTCCTCATAACCCAACGCTAACCCTATACTAACTCTCCTCACAACCTAACTCTAACCCTCCCCATCTTCTAACTCTAACCATTACACTAACCCTCTCCACAATCCAACTCTAACCAATACACTAACTCTCCTCATAACCCAACGCTAACCCTATACTAACTCTCCTCATAACCCAACGCTAACCCTATACTAACTCTCCTCATAACCCAACGCTAACCCTCCCCATCTTCTAACTCTAACCATTACGCTAACCCTCCCCACAATCTAACTCTAACCAAGACACTAACTCTCCTCATAACCTAATGCTAACCCTATACTAACTCTCCTCGTAACCTAACGCTAACCCTCCCCATCATCTAACTCTAACCCTTACACTAACTCTCCTCATAACCTAACTCTAATCCTTACACCAACTATCCTCGTAACCTAACTCTAACCCTCCCCATCATCTAACTCTAACCAATACACTACCCTTCCCCATAATCTAACTCTAACCCTTACACTAACCCTCCACATAATCAAACTCTAACCCAGGGGCAGACTGACAACTCATGGGGCCCCCGGGCAATAGGGGATCATGGGGCCACTGTGTCCTTGCCCAAACTAAAAAAAGCCTATGAAAAAGGTACCAGGGGCATCTCATGGGGCCCCCCAAGGACCCCGGGCCCTCGAGCAGTGCCCGAGTTTCTAAATGGTCAGTTCGCCCCTGCTCTAACCATTACACTACCCTTCCCCATAATCTAACTCTAACCCTTACACTAACCCTCCCCATAATGTAACTCTAATCCTTACACTAACCCTTCACATAATCTAACTCTTACCCTTACACTAAACCTCCCCAAACCCTAACTTTAATCCTTACACTAAACCTTCCTGTAACCTATCTCTAACCCTTATATAATCCCTCCCAATAATCTAACTCTACATTGCTAAAGAACACAGTAGTAACATAGGGCTCACCCGGAGGAACCACAGTGCCCAGAGGGGGACACGCTATCCAACACACCTATTATTATTATTATACAGGATTTATATAGCGCCAACAGTTTGGTCAGCGCTTTACAATATAACGGGAGACAATACAGTAACAATACAGTTCAATACAAGAGGGAAAGGAGGGCCCTGCTCCTTGGAGCTTGCAATCTAGGAGGCAGGGCTAGTGGTACAAAAGGTAGTAACTGTGGTGGATGGACTGGTTGGAAGAGTAGAATATTCCATTATTAGCTGAGGGCAGGATAGGCTTTCCTGAAGAGATAGGTTTTCAGAGATCGCCTAAAAGTGAACAGAGTAGGCGATAGTCTGATAAATTGGGGTAGAGAGTTCCAGAGGATGGGGGAAGCTCTGGAAAAGTCCCGGAGATGAGTATGGGAGGAGGAGACAAGGGAGCTAGAGAGCAGGAGGTCTTGTGAGGAGCGGAGAGTATGGTTTGGGTGATATTTAGAGACAAGATCGTTGATGTAATTTGGGGCAGAGTTATAAATGGCTTTATACGTTATTGTTAATGTTTTGAATTTTATCCGTTGGGCAATGGGAAGCCAGTGGAGGGATTGGCAGTGAGGGGGTGGCAGATACAGAATGGTTAGTAAGGTGGATGAGTCTGGCAGCAGAATTCATGATAGACTGTAGAGGGGATAGCCTGCGATGAGGTCGGCCAATGAGGAGGGAGTTACAATAGTCAAGGCGAGATATAACAAGGGAGTGAATAAGTTGCTTAGTGGTTTCCGAGGTTAGGAATGGCCATATCTTGGAGATGTTGCGGACGTGAAGTCTACAAGATTTGGACAGTGATTGGATTTGGGGCTGAAAGGACAGATGGGAGTCTAGGATTACACCTAGTACCCTGGCATGAGGGGAGGGACTGATGATTGTGTTATTGATCTTGATGGAGAAGTCAGGGGAGGGGGCACGGGCTGGAGGGAATACTAAGAGCTCAGTTTTGGAAAAAGATTGAGTTTGAGGAAGTGGAGTGACATCCATGCTGATATGTTGCTTAGTAGGTTAGTAATGCGAGAGGAGACAGAAGGGGTGAGGTGAGGGGTAGAAAGATAGATTTGTGTGTCATCAGCATAGAGATGGTACTTAAAGCCATGGGAGTTTATCAAGTGACCAAGGGAGGAGGTGTAGATGGAGAAGAGAAGGGGTCCAAGGACAGAACCTTGAGGGACCCCTACAGAAAGAGGGAGTGAAGCTCTTCAAGAAAAAAAAGGTACTTATGAAGCTACTTCTTTTGCAGGCTGCCACTGATTTTTTTTCATAAGTGCAGCTACAGGGTCACTTCAACCTTTACATTAAAACTCCTTCACATTATTCGTTGCATTAATGCAATGCTATACTGTGCATTAATGTGTGCTGTTGTTATGACAGCCAATGAATTTTAATCAGCTGGAATTGTATCTTAATGCTCTAAATATCAGACACCCTTTCTTTAATGCACATGCTGCAATGCATGACGTGTATTGTGGTGTGCTGCAGTGCGGGCTCATTGCCAACTACTGTAAAGCTGGCAATACACTGATTGTAATTCAGCTTGTCTACCAGGGACCGGCTGGATTTTGATCAATGTGTGGGCTCCCCCACTTGACAGAATCGATTATTTAATCTACTTTTGTTGAAGGGATATGTTGTAAAATTCTCTATCAATCAACATCTGTAGCCAATGAGCTGCAGTTGCTAATCAGTGTATTCTGACAGTGTATTCTGACAGAGGCAGTGCTGCTGTCGGAATACAACGTCCTTGTGGTGGTGGTGATTCATTTGTGTGGATGGATTTTTTTTTTTTTTTTTGTTCTCAGCTGGCTGACTCAACAAAAGAAGATGAACTGTATGGCCAGTTTACCAGTGTATTGGGGTTCCATTCAGTATTCAGTAACACATGCTTTAGTGTAAGCTATGGTGATGCCCCAATGTAAAGGTGGTCTGACCCTTTCCAATAAAAATCTAAACCCCTTTTTGAAAACTCTCCATGTCTGTGTTGGGATCCCCTGCACCAAAGGCTAACCCCACTCCTTAAAAAGGATCCCTACGTTGGAATCTACTTTACTGCTTCGATCATTCCTAACAAGATCATGCTAATCTAGTCCCAGAAGAGAGGATTATATACTATAGGTGAGATATAATTTTTGTTTGGACTGTCCATTTAGCATCATCATATAAGTGGCAGGAAAATGTTAGCATTCCATCTTAGTTAGACCACCCCGTGTCTTCAAACATGTTGTTTGGACACATTGCAACGCAAGACTGTAAAGACATGTAATAAGCACCTTACTACAAGCACTTGGCTTTTACAGACTCTGGATGATGGGTATATAATTCCTGGATGACCTTGGTGGAAAACAAACAAGTGCCACATGCTGGAGCAGGTGCAACAGAAATGATACTATGATAACATTCTTCCAAAGCAAACTCTTAATTTTGACTCCAAATGAGCTGCTGCCATCTGGCACTGAAAGTACAGCTGGGTGTGGCCTAAGGAGATCTATGACTCTTTGTCCTTCTAATACAATGTGAAAGAGCCAGTTACAAATAGGTCATTTGTAACCAGGATGAATGGGAGCGAATTAATGAGGATTTCCAAACCACGCACGGGGCCACACTGCCTGCGTTCAGTAAACACAATGTTAAGGTTTCGAAACCCAAGGGCTGCTTCATAAGACCTAAGGCAAAGAAAACACAGAGGCTTTGCCCATGGCAACCAGTCAGATATCTTCTCTCATTTCCTAAACAGCTCTAAAAAAGACAGTTGGAATTTTATGGTTGCTATGGGCAATGAGTCAGTTTATGAGAACTGACCTTTCCATTCTATGGAAGAACATTTCTAGGTACTGCGTAAGATAAACCTTACCTTAATGCTAAAACATTCTGGGAAACGCTGCGCTATGCTCAAGATTTAGCTTATTCAAGATCAATGTCATTTTGCATTAATTTGAGATGAGACTTTGAGATGAGACTTAACAGGACTTTCAGAAGAACTTAGGACAGAAATGTAAACTGATGCTCATTTTGTGTAGTGTAGCTTCCCTTTCTGAAACGTAAACGTCTCTACGTGCAATATTGCCCACAGACTTCGATGAGGTGACTAATTGCTGGATAAGCAGGACTGTGCAGATTTGGACTTTAGTGAGTGGAATTGGGAATTATTGGTGTGCACTACAGGCTCATTTCATTGCTTATGAATGGATCAGCGTTTCCCTGAACAAAGATGGTTGCCAGAGCTTATAAGAAATATTAAAGATGTCAGGGAGGGCATCACAGGATTTCTCCTTTAACCCCAATGTGGAAGTCAATGATTTCAGGTTAAGTACTGTGTCCCAGATGTCTATAACCACTACAAATTCCCATTCAAGCATCTGATGAAACGGGGTGCCATTTTGAAATGGTGCTAGGACAAGCACAATTAATGACAGTACTATTTACGTTTTAGGGGAACCTTCCTCCCTCCTCAGGTGACAACAGGTGATAACCAGGAAAAGTCTCTAAAATTTGGCCAAATAATGATTTTACTATATTTCATAAAATCACCCCATATTTTGCAAAGCAAGTTTATCTTTAGAACATTTTTTTGCCAGGAATATGCTTGCTGTCCATTCTGTTTATTACTAATATATGTATAAATTGGAGGCTATCATTGAGAAGACAGATAAAACCAAGCGCTAGGTGTCTACAAAAGAAGAAAGGCTAGCAGCTGACATAGGAAGTAAACCTCTGGAACTTCAAGTGGTAAATAAACAGTAAAAATATGCAGCGCTGCATATTTTTATTGGAGGCTATCATTGCTGATGTCCTTGTAAAAAAGGCTAGTTTTATGGCAGTCAGTAATGTGCATGTGAGAGGGTGACAACACAGGAGAATATTTAGGAGAGACTTACAAATTGTTGTCACCCTATAACAGGAAGTGTATGAACAAAGAACCTGCTGGTAGGATCACCAAATTATTCTGTAAAAGAAGCTGCAATTTCAAAAAGATTTAAAAAAATGATCTTTCTGCTTATATTAAATGTTAATACTTGACCTACAGTCTGCTTTATAGCACCATTTGCTGCAAACCTCCAAACACTGCCAGTCACTTTATACAGGCTGGCTGGAATCTGACCTGGTATGGATGCTGAGCTACTTACAGAAGAGGACAGATAAGGTTTGGAAAAACCCTGCCTACAAAAACTGAACTCTTTTATTTGAACAATGACACTTGTTTTTGCCAGTTATAGAATATTCTACTCACCACTACTACACTGATTTCACTAGCTTCTGTGTGCCATGCTGAGTGGCTGCCCTACCGTACAGAGAACATAGGAAGTCATTCACTCGTTATGGGTGCCATTCAAAGACATTTCAGAAATCAGAGAGAGCATTTTGCAAGGTGTTCTCTGATTAGACAAGGTGGAAAGGCAGGATAGTGACATCACAATCCTCACTTCATCCAGTCAGAGAATGTGTTGTATTCACTGAGAAAAATGCAAGACATTCTTTTAATGGCACCCCTGGGTTCACCATACAGCAGAGCACCTACTCGGCATGACATCCGGAGACTAGAGGCAATCACCGTAGTAGTTGATTTATTTTAGCTTCCACAGGGATCCCACCGGTATGGCACATGCGTACTTACATTGGTCCAAACTGGACCAATGTAACTATACAAAAAAGCCATACCTAAACTTCAGCTTAAAAATTACAAAATGGCATTCACAGAAATTTTATATATAGATACATAGTCC